TACATTCCCTTCTTTGCCTCCATAGATAACATTTTTTGCCTCCACATATACCTCAATGCACCACTCACCTTTCTTCCTTCATCAATTCTATGATTAACCTCATCCTTCATAAATCCATCCGCTGACACGTTAACTCCCAAATACATATCTGAAAACATTCACTTCTTCCATACTCCTCCTCCCCAATTTGATATCCAATTTTTCTTTATCTAAATCATTTGATACCCTCATCACACTCTTTTCTATGTTCACTTTACTTTCTACCTTTACACACACTCCCAAATTCATCCACTAACCTTTGCAATTTTTCTTTAGAATCTCCCATAAGCACAGTATCATCAGCAAAAAGTAACTGTGTCAATTCCCATTTTGTATTTAATTCCTCATAATTTAATCCCACCCCTCTCCCGAACACCCTAGCATTTACTTCTTTTACAACCCCATTTATAAATACATTAAACAACCATGGTGACATTACACATCCCTGTCTAAGACCTACTTTTACCGGGAAATAGTCTCCCTCTCTTCTACACACCCTAACCTGAGCCTCACTATCCTCATAAAAACTCTTTACAGCATTTAATAACTTACCACCTATTCCATATACATGTACTTGCAACATCTGCCACATTGCTTCCCTATCCACTCTATCATATGCCTTTTCTAAATCCATAAATGCAATAAAAACTTCCCTACCTTTATCAAAATACTGCTCACATATATGCTTCAATGTAAACACTTGATCTACACAGCCCCTACCCACTCTGAAACTTCCTTGCTCATCCACAATTCTACATTCTGTCTTACCTCTACTTCTTTCAATAACAACCCTACCATACACTTTTCCTGGTATACTCAGTAAACTTATTCCTCTATAATTTTTACAATCTCTTTTGTCCCCCTTCCCTTTATATAAAGGGACTATACGCGCTCTCCGCTAATCCCTAGGTACCTTCCCCTCTTTCATACATTTAAAAAAAAATACCAACCATGATCCCGTCAGTTCCAGCTGCTTTACCCCCTTTCATTCTACGTAATGCCTCATGCACCTCCCCCACACTCACATCCTGTTCTTCTTCACTCCTAAAAGATAGTATACCTCCCTGGCCAGTGCATGAAATTACCGCCTCCCTTTCTTCGTCAACATTTAAAAGTTCCTCAAAATATTATCGCCATCTACCCAAAACCTCCATCTCCTCATCTACTAACTCCCCTACTCTGTTCATGTTACTTTGATCAAACTCCAATAGCACATCATGTAATAAAAACCACTCGCTTCCACTCACTCCTATCTAACATACACATGCTTACTGGATGTCCAAGCCCCTCCAACACAAAACTTTCACCCCGTACCTTTAACCTTTCCTAGGATGACCCCCTACCCAGCCTTCCCTCCAGTACAGATTTATATGTCCTCCAATTCATCCCATTTTGTTCCATTCTCTCTGAATGTTCGAACCACCTCAACAACCCCTCCTCAGCTCTTTGAACAATGCTTTGAGCAACCTTGTACCTCCTCATGTCCACACTCTGAATTCTCTGCAAAATATTCATACCACACATTGCCCTGAGACATGACATCTCTGCTGGATCCAGCCTCCTCCTCTCTGCAACATTCACAACCCATGCTTCACACCCATACTTTACTCTCATGCATTCTCCTTTCTGCTTCCACAGATATCGTTCTTTGTCTTCACAGATGCTCAATGACACGCTCACCTTTTTTCTCTCATCAATTCTATGATTCACCTCATCTTTCACAGACCCATCTACTGACATATCTACCACCAAATATCTGAACACATTCACTTCCTCCAATCTGATATCCAATCTTTTATTACCTAAATTTTTTTTATACTCATCACCTTGCTCTTTCCTATGTTCACTTTTTTCCTTCTTGTACTTTTTTTTTTTTTGTAGGTAGTAGGTTGGTAGACAGCAACCACCCAGGGAGGTACTACCGTCCTGCCAAGTGAGTTTAAAATGGAAGCCTGTAATTGTTATACATGATGGTAGGATTGCTGGTGTCTTTTTATTATGCCTCATACACATGCAAGATTTCAGGTACGTCTTGCTACTTCTACTTACACTTAGGTCACACTACACATACATATACAAACGTATATATACACACCCATCTGGGTTTTCTTCTATTTTCTTTCTAGTTCTTGTTCTTGTTTATTTTCTCTTACCTCCAAGGGAAAGTGGAACAGAATTCTTCCTCAGTAAGCCATGTGTGTTGTAAGAGGCGACTAAAATGCCAGGAGCAAGGGGCTAGTAACCTCTTCTCCTGTATATATTACTAAATGTAAAAGGAAAAATTTTTGTTTTTCCTTTTGGGCCACCCCACATCGTTGGGATACAGCCGGTGTGTTGAAAGACTTTTTTTTTTTATACATACCCACCTAAATTCACCCCACTTTGTAATAGATTCTTTATCTTCCAATCCCACAACTCTCCCCAACACTCTAGCAATCACCTCCCCCACAAACCCATCTATAAATGTATTAAACAATCATTGTGACATCACATACCCCTGTCTAAAACCTATTTTAACTGGAAAATAATCTCCCTTTCCTAGATACTCTAACCTGAGCCTTACTGCTTTCAGTAACTTACCATTTATTCAATACACCTGCAAGTGTTCCCCTATCCACCCTATCATATGCTTTACCCAAATCCACAAATGCAACAAAAACCTCTTTATGGTTATCTAAATACTATCCACCTATATGTTTCACTGTAAACACTTGGTCTACACATTCCATACCCTTCCTAAATCCTTGTTCATCTGCAATCCTACTCTCCATCTCACCCTTAATTAATTCTTTCAATAACAACTATACCATATTTCTTGCCAAGTATACTCAAGTTTTATTCTTTTCAACAAGCTGGCCATCTCCCACTGAGCCAGGGTGGCCCAAAAAAGAAACACTTTCACCATCATTCACACATAATCACTCTCTTTTCAGTGGCACATAGACATTCATTGTCTCCACAGATACCTCAGTGCACCACCCACCTTTTTTTCCTTCATCATCCTTCATAAACCCATCTGCTGACAATTCTACTCACAATATCTGAACACATTCACTTCTTCCACAATTGCTCCCTCCAATGTGGTATCCAATTTTTCTTTACCTAACTCATTTGATACCCTCATCACCTTACTCTTAGCAATGTTCACTTTCATCTTTCTTCCTTTACACAACCAATAATTCTTACTCTCTCTTTTGTCTGTTTGCCTTTATACAAAGGAATTATGCATGCTCTCTGCCAATCTTTAGGTACCTTCCCTCTCTTTCATACATTTAATTAAAAGTACCAACCACTCCAAAACTATATTCTCTCCTGCTTTTAATATTTCTGTCCTGATCGTATCAATCACAGCTGCTTAACGCATTTTTATTTTACACACAGCCTCATGTACCTCCCCCACTCTCACATCTAACTCTTCCTCACTCCTAAAAAGATGTTATACCTCCCTACCCAATGCATGAAATCGCATTTTCCCCTTTTCTAATCCTTGGGAAAATTTGTTGGCAACACTTCAACCACTCTCTCATATGCTCTTCTTTTACATTACCTTACCACTCACTCAAACTCTCTTTCACTCTCCACATACTCGTTGTCTTACCAAAGGCAAGTAGATACTACATTTCAGATACCCCTCTAAACTGCAAATATCTCCACCCTTTCTTTAGAGTGCAGGCACTATACTTCTCACCTAAAGGACTCAGGCCCAGTCTAACTGGTTTCCCTGAATCCCTTCACAAATGTTACCTTACTCACTCTCCAACAGCTTGTCAAGTCTCCAAAATCATTTGCCTCCACTCACTTGTATCTAACATGCTCACACACACTGTCTGGATGTCGATGTCCCTTGAACATGCAAACACCTTCACCCCTTCTCTCTAACTTTTCCTAGGGTGATTACTGGAAATGTATATACAGTACAGTACTTAACCTAAGATCATATGAAATATCAAATGGACTACTGTATTGTGTCTAGGCTGATGAAACTAATATTAAGATATACTTCTCCATCAATAAATGAATATGGGTACTATGGGTTTTACAATTCCAGGTAGGTGTTTTATTAAGAAGCCTAATGAAGAACATAGGTGCTACACATATGTAGCTTTCAAGAGAACATTTTCTTGAGAGCAGATGTATGAATAAGATGTATAAAAATTAATCTCTATTTTTTTTTTTGGTTGCTGCCATAAGGTTTCTAAAATTTTGGGAGTTGTATATGATACATTATTTTACTATGCAAACCATTCATAGTTTAAGGGAAGCTGATAAACTACTGCTATGCAGAGTATTCCTAATCAGCTGGGTTAAAGTGTCATACATGACTAGAGCTTTTGACACAACAGTCAGTGATCAAGAGGTTTGATCATACACTAGGTCATGATAGTAGTGAAGTCTTCAAAACCGTTTATGCTATACTAAAGTTTAACATCAATAAAAACTTGAAATAATGTTAAGTACCAAAGAAACCATTTCAAAATATATAATGCTCTGTTAATAGCAACATTACTTAAACATCAATGAGGGATTATCATACAACAAGAGTTTAATTAATCAGAAATGCATTCATTCGGTTTATATGACCATGTACATAGGAAATATTTAGGAACTTTCCAGAATATTGAACTACCTCTAGAAACTTAAATAAGAATTCTTTTAAATGTGTAAAGGCTTTTGCCAGTTAAATGGAAGCACTATTTCAAACAGCTGAGGAGATAAAATGTAATCCTATTATCCTTCATATAATATTTTTGTGGGGCATTAGTAAAAAAATAAAGCTGGATCACAATGAAAGTTCAGCATTAATGTTTTTATATAAAATTAAAAATCTATAAGCAAAGCTTTCTCTATAAAGTTCACTACATGCAGGGAGCAAAACTGAATAGCAGATGTCAGCACTGAGGCATAACTGACTGTCCTCTCCCAGGTGTGACTGTGTTAGTGGCAGGTTCAGCCCACCTTACCTCAACCACAAGTGGCACAGCGGCCAGCTTGTTGTCAGTGATCCGTGTTACTACTGTCTCGGTGAGGGTAGATTTGGTGATAGTCTCTGTGACCTTTCCTAACTTGGTTGGTGGAGGTGGGAAAGCCACACCCATGGGGGTGTGATCCGTTGGCAAGTTGACGGTTACATGCACAGAGGAGTTACCCTCATCTTGTCCCCGACCACCATAAAGAAAATGCTCTGGAATCATGGCCTGAAAATCATCATTAGTGAGGGGTCGATGTGGGGCTACCTGGGTGGTGCCAGTTGGGATGGTTGCTCCAGTGGTGACTGCTGGTGATGCTGTTGGATCTGTAAGACTACTAAGTTGCTGCTGTTGCTGTTGTTTGGTTGTTGTAGCAGGAGACGCAACAGGACTACTGTGAGCACTATGGTTGGTCTCTGTTAAATTTGAGCCTGATAACCGTCCACCTGGCTGAGCACGTCTATAACCCGTGTAGCTTGGGCGATTGGCCATGTAAGAGCCCGCACTGTATAGGCCAGTATAAGGACGAGGTGCACCAAACACTCGCGGAGATGTTTTAGAATTGTTACTGGTACCCTGACCAGGAGGCACTAATGTTTCACGATGAACTACTAAACGCACAAAACGTTCCAGTCCAGTAAGCATTGACACAGCCTGATCATGCCGAGCCCCCTCCAAATCAACACCATTGATCTGAAACATAAAAAAAAATATTACATGTACTGTACAAGATTGTATAATAATAAATATGCCAGAAAAGAAGGGAGTCTGGGAGAAAGAGTACAGGGACAAAGGTGGAAGATGGAAGGGGTTAAAAGAAAGGAGGAAAGTTTTGAAAAATGGTTGAGGGGAAGGTGCATATGGGAGGAAAAGAAAGAGGAAAGAAATATTTTCTAAAAAAAGAAGGACTTAAACAGGGATGCATGATGTCATCATGGCTATTTAACATATTCATAGGGTTGTAGAAGAAGTGAATGCTAGAGTGTTAGAGGGAGATGTGGGATTAAAAGATAATGACTCTGATACAAAGTGGGAGTTGTTAAAGTTGCTCTTTGCCAGTGATAGTTCTTTTGGGAGAGTCTAAAAAAAAAAAGGCCGCAAAGGTTAAGATCAAACTTGAGACTGTGTAAAAGAAGGAAATTAAAAGTGAGCATAGAAAAGAGAAAGGTGATTAACATAAGAAAAAAGTCAAGACAGTGAAAGATTGGATATAAAATTGGAATTAAGGAGGATAAAGAAAGTGAATGAACTGAAACATTTGAGAGTGGACATGTCAGAAGATAGGGCTATGCAAAATGAAGTGAACCAGAGAACAGAAAAAGGAAAAAAAGCAGTTGGCTTGTTGAGGCATCTTTGGTAAGAAAAAATATTTATGTTAGACAAAAAAATGGAATGTACTAGACAACAGTGATTTTTTTTTTTTAACAAGTCGGCCATCTCCCATCGAGGCAGGGTCACCCAAAAAGAAAGAAAATCTCAAAAAAGAAAATACTTTCATCATTATTCAACGCTTTCACCTCACTTACACATAATCACTGTTTTTGCAGAGGTGCTCAGAATACAACAGCATAGAAGCATACACATATAAAGATACACAACATATCCCTCTAAACTGTCAATATTTCAAACCCCTCCTTTAAAGTGCAGGCATTGTACTTCCCATTTCCAGAACTCAAGTCCGGCTATATAAAAATAACCGGTTTCCCTCAATCCCTTCACTAAATATCACCCTGCTCACACTCCAACAGCTCGTCAGGTCCCAAAACCCATTCGTCTCCATTCACTCCTATATAACATGCCCACGCACGCTTGGTGGAAGTCCAAGCCCCTCTCCCACAAAACTTCCTTTACCCCTCCCTCCAACCTTTTCGAGGATGACCCCTACCCCGCCTTCCTTCCCCTACAGATTTATATGCTCTCCATGTGATTCTACTTTGATCCATTCTCTCTCAGTGACAAAACCACCTCAACAACCCCTCTTCAGCCCTCTGACTAATACTTTTATTAACTCCACACCTTCTCCTAATTTCCACACTCCGAATTTTTTGCATAATATTTACACCACACACTGTCCTTAGACAGGACATCTCCACTGCCTCCAACCACCTCCTCACTGCAGCATTTACAACCCAAGCTTCACACCCATATAAGAGTGTTGGTACCACTATACTTTCATACATTCCCTTCTTTCACTCCATAGATAATGTTTTTTGTCTCCACATACACCTCAATGCACCACTTGCCTTTTTTCTTTCATCAATTCTATGATTAACCTCATCCTTCATACATGTATCTGCTGACATGTCAACTCCCAAATATCTGAGAACATTCAGTTCTTCCATACTCCTCCTCTCCAATTTGATATCCAATTTTTCTTTATCTAAATCATTTGATACTCTCATCACCTTATTCTTTTCTATGTTCACTTTCAACTTTCTACCTTTACACACTCCTAAACTCGTCCACTAACCTTTGCAATTTTTCTTTAGAATTTCCCATAAGCAAAGTATCATCAACAAAAAGTAACTGTCAATTCCCATTTTGTATTTGATTCCCCATAATTTAATCCCACCCCTCTTCGGAAACACCCTAGCATTTACTTCTTTTACAACCCTATCTATAAATATATTAAACAACCATGGTGACATTACACATCCCTGTCCAAGACCTACTTTTACTGGGAAGAAGTCTCCCTCTCTTCTACACACCCTAACCTGAACCTCACTTTTTTTTTTTTTTTCAACAAGTTGGTCGTCTCCCACCGAGGCAGGGTGACCCAAAAAAGAAAGAAAATCCCCAAAAAGAAAATACTTTCATCATCATTCAACACTTTCATCACACTCACACATTATCACTGCTTTTGCAGAGGTGCTCAGAATACAACAGTTTAGAAGCATATACGTATAAAGATACACAACACATCCCTCCAAACTGCCAATATCCCAAACCCCTCCTTTAAAGTGCAGGCATTGTACTTCCCATTTCCAGGACTCAAGTCCGACTATATGAAAATAACCGGTTTCCCTGAATCCCTTCACTAAATATTACCCTGCTCACACTCCAACAGATTGTCAGGTCCCAAGTATCATTCGTCTTCATTCACTCCTATCTAACACGCTCATGCACGCTTGCTGGAAGTCCAAGCCCCTCGCCCACAAAACCTCCTTTACCCCCTCTTTCCAACCCTTTCGAGGACGACCCCTACCCCTCTTTCCTTCCCCTATAGATTTATATGCTTTCCATGTCATTCTACTTTGATCCATTCTCTCTAAATGACCAAACCACCTCAACAACCCCTCTTCAGCCCTCTGACTAATGCTTTTATTAACTCCACACCTTCTCCTAATTTCCACACTCCGAATTTTCTGCATAATATTTACACCACACATTGCTCTTAGACAGGACATCTCCACTGCCTCCAACCGTCTCCTCGCTGCTGCATTTACCACCCAAGCTTCACATCCATATAAGAGTGTTGGTACTACTATACTTTCATAAATTCCCTTCTTTGCCTCCATAGATAACGTTTTTTGACTCCACATATACCTCAACGCACCACTCATCTTTTTTCCCTCATCAATTCTATGATTAACCTCATCCTTCATAAATCCATCCGCCGACACGTCAACTCCCAAGTATCTGAAAACATTCACTTCTTCCATACTCCTCCTCCCCAATTTGATATCCAATTTTTCTTTATCTAAATCATTTGATACCCTCATTACCTTACTCTTTTCTATGTTCACTTTCAACTTTCTACCTTTACACACATTCTCAAACTCATCCACTAACCTTTGCAATTTTTCTTTAGAATCTCCCATAAGCACAGTATCATCGCAAAAAGTAACTGTGTCAATTCCCATTTTGAATTTGATTCCCCATAATTTAATTCCACCCCTCTCCCGAACACCCTAGCATTTACTTCTTTTACAACCCCATCTATGAATATATTAAACAACCATGGTGACATTACACATCCTTGTCTAAGACCTACTTTTACCGGGAAGTATTCTCCCTCTCTTCTACACACCCTAACCTGAGCCTCACTATCCTCATAAAAGCTCTTTACAGCATTTAGTAACTTACCACCTATTCCATATACTTGCAACATCTGCCACATTGCTCCTCTATCCACTCTATCATATGTCTTTTCTAAATCCATAAATGCAATAAGAACTTCCCTACCTTTATCTAAATACTGTTCACATATATGCTTCAATGTAAACACTTGATCTACACATCCCCTACCCACTCTGAAGCCTCCTTGTTCATCCGCAATTCTACATTCTGTCTTACCTCTAATTCTTTCAATTATAACTCTACCGTATACTTTTCCTGGTATACTCAGTAAACTTATTCCTCTATAATTTTTACAATCTCTTTTGTCCCCTTTCCCTTTATATAAAGGGACTATACATGCTCTCCGCCAATCCCTAGGTACCTTCCACCACACTTACATTCTGCTCTTCTTCACTCCTAAAAGATGGTATACCTTCCTGGCCAGTGCATGAAATTACCGCCTCCCTTTCTTCCTCAACATTTAAAAGTTCCTCAAAATATTTTCGCCATCTACCTAATACCTCCCTCTCCCCATCTACTAACTCCCCTACTCTGTTTTTAACGGACAAATCCATACTTTCCCTAGGCTTTCTTAACTTGTTTAACTCGCTCCAAAATTTTTTCTTATTTTCATTAAAATTTCTTGACAGTGCCTCTCCCACTCTTTCATCTGCTCTCCTTTTGCACTCTCTCACCACTCTCACTATCTTCATAAAAAACCTTTACAGCATTTAGTAACTTACTACCTATTCCATATACCTGCAACATCTATATCCCCCTCCCCTGCTTTTAACATTTCTGTCATGATCCCGTCAGTTCCAGCTGCTTTACCACCTTTCTTTCTAAGGAATGCCTCATGCACCTCCCCCACACTTACATCCTGCTCTTCTTCACTCCTAAAAGATGGTATACCTCCCTGGCCAATGCATGAAATTACCGCCTCCCTTTCTTCGTCAATATTTAAAAGTTCCTCAAAATATTCCCGCCATCTACCCAACACTTTTATAGGGTCTAAGGTATAGGCTTTAAATGTTGCAGCAAGCAGAATGCTAGAGGCAGTGAAATGTCATGTATGACAGAGATGTGTGGTGTGAATATTATGCAGAAAATTGAAAGCATAGAAATTAGATGGTGTGGGGTGACCAAGACTATCATTCAGAAGGCTGAGGATAAGTTATTGATGACGTTTAGCATTCAGAGAGGATGGGACAAAATAGGATGAGGAAGAGGATGCATAAATCAAGGTGAAATAGAGGACGGGGTAAGGATTGTCTCAAGAAGAGTTGGAGGGAGATAAGTGGGGGCTTTTGAGTGATAGGTGCTTAATCATCCACCAGAACTGTGTGAGAATATTAGATTTGAGTGGGGGAAGTGGTTTTTATTGGCTTTACATGCTGTTGGAGAACAAACAAGGTGACATGAAGGGAGTCTGGGAAACAGGTTAACCAAACTCGAGTTCAGGAGATGGGAAGCAGGTTCACACGCTTTGTGGTAAAACTTTGCAGTGGACGTCAAGTATATGCAATCTTATTATGACCCATATACGGGTTTGCCATTGTAAACCAGATTACAGTATCTCTTGCAATGTCACATGTAGGTATTCATAATACCAAGCTCCAAATTCTCCACATAAT